TTCTTTTGGATCATTTAGCGAACTATGCACCAAATACATCAGGCGTGGGGGTACCATTGTCTTAGCAGCGTAAACTGGTACATGTATCCCTTAATTGCAACTATGCAAAAAAATGAGGGCTATGGTGGGGAAACAGATGGTTATCTGTGAGCCGTCCTCGCAGCATCCTGTCATTACCTTGGTGACAAGCAATAGAAGCGACAATAAAAAAGAAGTGATAGTGATAGTTAAGTGAAAAGAGTTGAGAGCGCATACCCAGAGCGTATTTTTAAAAAGTGGTATGTATAACAGCTTATATATTTATTTAGTATAATATTTGATTTAAAAAAAAGTTTTTGTATATCTGTCTTCTTTTCCTTTATTTCTAGACGATCCGTCAGCCTGTCGCCTATCTAGCACCACAACATCTTACAGGATATAAAAAAAGTGGTACGTATAACAGTGTTAAGCTAGTACAAGTTTTCATTTAAAAAAAAAAATGTATTCTGTATCTGTCACCTTTTACCCTTATTTCTAGACGCTGCAAAACAGGACGACGCGCACAGTAGCATCACCATCAGGCATTAAACTAGCGTCGTATATTACTAGAGTGGTAAGGTAGTAATTTTAAGTCCGCACCGGGTTTTATTTGATTTAAACAGATTTATTAAAAAAAACTGAAACTTTACAGATTATGGCACCAAGACGACCGGATACACCACCCGAAAGGGGTAGAAGGACCGTTTGAGGGGCCACTGCTGGATGGGATCCCACCGCCCTTAAACGATTTCTTCGCCCCCTTTCATGAAGGGCGGTGTTTTTTCGGCTGTTTGTATGTACGGGGTGTGGAAGAAGAGTTTTGCTACGGGTACATGCGCGCGCAACCCCTCGAAGACAGGGCAGCGTACAGGGCTCATGTGATGCATTGCTTACAACTAGATCCCGCAATAGACCTGCGTGTGGGTATATGCGTACGGTGCGCGCGGTGTGTGATGCACGCGTATGCACCCGTAGATTATATAGCCTGTATAAGCTATGTCTGCGACAACAGGGACCTAATATTGAGGCAGGGGGCTGCTGAGGTCCCTCCGCCACCCCAGACATAAATTGTAAGTTATGTATATATATGTACTATATTTTTTATTCATCACCCTACATATTTACACTTTTTTTACTTATCATTATCTTTAATACTTATTTATCGTTATATATATACACTACTAGCCTTAAGCCTACTATACATGTTTATCACTACCCTTAATACATATTATTATTACTATTATAATTTTACTTTTCTTATTAAATAAAATTATAAAAACAAGTAGCGAAATTCAAATAAACATTCGAGAAAGTTACAGATATCTATTCAAAATCCATTAATATTCATATTACATCTGACTATAATGATACAAACTTTCCAAAATTGATATTAAATTCCAATTACATATAAATTAAATATAGAACTCACGCATAACCCATTCATCTTCACACATTTACTAGTCGAGAAATATACATATGACATAATAAAATTGACATAAGAATATGATATTAATTAAAAGTAAGATACGTGTTACGCTGTTGATCCATTCTCTATGTCCTTTCATTCCATGTTCCCATCATCAACCAAGTCGTCAAATTGTACTATTATTTCGTCCTTCAAGTGGGATTTGTATCATCCTGTCGTTTTGCCAATCATCCTTGATATATATATATTGTAACGACACTTTTTAACGGTGACGCACAAATAAATGACACCGCGAGAAATAATTAATGAAATACTAAATTATTGGGCGCCAGGTATAACCAGAGTTACACTGCTGTCTCCTAAGGACACCCTGGCCAGCTCTTATGCGGTGGGGTCCTGGGTCTGGGAGACAATAATCAAAATCTGAAAATTAGGGAGGTTCACTCTCAAAAATTACAACGAATAACCAATAAAGTTTTCAAAATTAAATACGGAACCACAATCTGGCCCGATTTATTCAACACAATAAGAAAAAGAGATGGAACAACGGTTCCTGAACAAAATACACAAGGGAAAGAAATGGAACAACGGTTCCTATACAGAATATACACGCTTTACGCAGAACGGGACCGTAGATCCCCCAAGGGAATTATTTAAGTTGTCCGTCCCGAAGACCTATTGGCAAACTAATATCTACAAATTTACAGGACCTTAATATTCTACAACAATATACATCGTACTCCATACTATACGGAAGTACACGCTATACCCCATTCCCCACAGAATATACAAGTCAAAGGATATTATACAGAATTTAACGGTAACGAGTGCTAACGGACTCACGATACCCTTGCGCTAAGGAAATGACTCCGCGAGGCGTGGACTGTATCGACGGTAACGCAAAACCAACATTTGACCCATAAACGATATTAAATAGCACCGATCCTCCAGAGCGCCACCGATGAGCAATCCGCGGATACAATAATGATCGGGAATGCGTAAGGCACGACACTGCGTCACGGTCTATCTCTCATTCACGTAAATATGCTCAACTCACAAAAGCGTCACTCACCGCCCTCCTAGTCGCTCCAGATATCCCCAAGACACAATCTCTTTGATACTGGGTTCCTCAAGCGGTCGCAAAACGGCACGGTAGACTATACAATAATAGAAAAATCCGACAAAGCTAAAGCAAAACAATACGAGACTATACAAAGTTTATCAGACGGAAACACGTCTGTTCCTAAGCTCGGCCACACCGTGAGTGACGCTAAGAATTTCGAAAATCGGGAACCTTCCCAAGAGGCGCGCTGTAATACATCCCTTAGGCCAAGCTGATTGGCGGATCCATCGACTTCGCCAGAGCGCTCGCGATCTTCAATTGTTTTCTTCGATTCCGATAAAATAGATCCTGGCATCTTTCGTGTTTGGGATGGCTGCAGTGATATTTTCGGGAGGTGGGAATCACATCCACCTCTGCTCCCTTGATGGACGGCTCTAGGCCTTTACTGCAACTTCCGTATGCCCTCTGGATCGGGGAGACGCTCGCTGAATGTTCCGCGTAGCTGGCATCTTAGGGTGTGTGCTCCGGTCTGGCTGTCGCGACGCCTCGCCAGCGCGCTCCACCAGGCCCGTGGTTGGCACTCTCGGGACCCGCAGTATTCAAATTTTGACAAGATCCTTCCGGATCCGCTTGAAAAATATAAAACACAAAAAAACGTTCCCACGAGGGAAATAAATACAAATTCAACAAATAATATACAGTCCAACGCCACGAAATCCCTTCCCCACGCATAGGGCCCCACGATGTAGCCGGAAGTCGCAGAATGTTACATTTTGTGGCGTGCATGTCGAAATGCCACGTCACAATATATATATATAATTCCTTGGTTGGGCAATATTTGGTATCCAAGATAGGATCGAATATAATTGATAGATCTTCCTTCGCTGATGCAGAATATTAATAATAGATCTGCGATTCGTTTGAATCAACGCCACGTTTTACATTATTGTCTACAGATATACTCTTTACGTCCACACAAATGGACTATCTCTCCCCGACTAGTCCGGTACCGGACACGACAATCGCCAGTAAGCCAATGCTCGTGTCTGATTGGCTATTATGGATAATACGTAGTGACACCAATTCCAATACATATATTTCTACACCTATTAATCTTCGTAATAAAGAGTTATTATTTAATGTTTATATTTTAGATTCAAAGATGAAGATTAATCCCTTAAATGTAGTGAATTTATTACTAGCGTATTTTCAAACTTTACAAATACCCAATAGTGTGACGAATTATAAAGAAATTGAGTTGTCAGAAAAATTGAAACAAATATTAATCGATGCAGCAAATGACTTCAATGAAGTTGATACGATTTTTGAGGATACTTTGGATTTTGAGGAAGAATATAAGGATTGTGATGCTGAAATAGTTGAGGATGAAGTTCAACATCATTTTCCTGATCCTGACGTTGCACTAACAAATCAGTGTACGAAAGGTACTGAAGACATCAATTTTGATTACAAACAAAAAGCTGTAGAATATTGGAGAAGTGGGAAAAGAAAACTTAAGTATTGAAACAGCGTAAAGAAGATTCAGAAAAGTCTCATCAATCAGTCAGCTCAAACGTTGAGCTCACAATATTAATGAAGGTGGCACGTACCGAGAAAAAATTGCACGGATTTGTCAATACACACTTGATAATTTTAAAGCTGCTGTTGAAAGTGGTTTAATTATTCACGATCACGATATACGGAGATGGGCGTTACAAGCTCAAAAAGAAATTGGATCTGAAGATGTAAGATTTAAAGCTTCTAAAAATTGGTTAGTGAAATTCAAAAAGGCTCACAGAATAGTGTCTAGAAAAATAAATAAATTTATTACTAGGAAAACATTGGAAAATACTTTAGGCCTCCAAATGATGGCTGATATGTTTGTTGCTGATGTGAAATCTTCTATATCATCAATTGGAATTGAAAATTTATATAATTCAGATCAGAGTGGGTTCCAATTAGAAATGCATTCTGGAAGAACATTAGCAGTTGAAGGAGTTGCAAGTGCAATGAAGTCTTTATGTTTTAAGCACTTTTTTGAAGATAATCATTATTGTCAACACTTTGAAGAATAAAATACTGTGACTTACAATTAATTATAAAAAGAGAAGAAAAAGAAATAAATCTTATAAAAATAATTTTTAATCATAGTTTCATTAAAAAATATTAATAAATATTGAGTACATACCCTGGTTTATATAAAGAAAAAAAGCATAAAAAATATAGTTTTTTCAAAATATAAAATAAGGGTTGCAACCCCTTGGGTCATTAACAAACCTCATATCTTCGACTTCTTATGACAAATATTTTCCACTTGGTTTTATTAAAAAATATTAATTAGAAGTCGAGATATGATGAAAAAACGATTTTCGGGGGTGAATTTCAGGGGTCGTTTTCACCCCTTTAAAGTGGATGTCAGCACAAAAAAAAAATACGTGTCTCTTATTTTGTCGAGTACTACAACATATCAAAAAATTATTGAAATCGGTGGGGTCGGGTTGGGGGGGTTTCCTTGTAAGATGTAACGTCTCATCCTCATTACTGCATGCTTCGACTTTTCCCTTCAGTATATCGCATTTTTGGCACGTGTCTTTCGAGGAGCATGGAAATTTAAATTAAATTGAGTATTAAATACTTTCCTGTAGATCCACTCCTTAACAAATGATTGGTTATTTTCCTCATATATTTTCTCTATATGAGCCGTTCACTGAGTTCACTGAGTTCATGAGTGCACACATCGATTAACTCCATAAAACAAAAAGTTGAGAAATGCGATGAAGTAATGTATATTGTTTTTTAAAATTCCTGTTATAATATAAATTCAAATATATAATGTAAAATGCATAAATACAGATATGGCTTTCATCTAACGGTATATAAAATTAATAAGAAAGAATAGTTAAAAAATAATCGTCAGTAATGTCACAGTTTTTATGTGACTGGTGGAGTTAATCGATTTGGCAACTGAAAAAAGTAATAAAGCTAAATTCAGTCTTTAAATTTTTAAGTTTTTTATTACAGAAAAAGTTAATTATATATTTTTATTATAGCTTTTCCATAAAAATGAATGTTTGCAGTTCTGTTATAATATATTTTTTACCCGACTTCAATCAAAAAGGAGGAGGTTCTATGTTCGACTGTATGTATTTTTTTTTATGAATGTTCACCGATTTCGGCGCCAATTGTGGACCGATTTTGAAAATTCTTTTTTTTGTTTAAAAGGGTATCCTCTCGAGGTGGTCCCATTGTCACGAAGTCAGAATCTAATGTGGGGATTAAGACAATCGTCTTAATCTTTCCATTTCTCGTAATGCCTTTTTATCATGTGGTCGTTTCGTTTTTCTCGTAATGCCGTTTCATCATTAGTATAGGTACCTAAATAAACACTGCACTACTTACCTACCTATATTTTGCGACGATATTCTCAGTCGTCAACAAAACGGAACTCTACACTAACGAAAATCGGGAGTGCAAGTGGTGTCGGCAAACTCGAAAAAGTTGTTGGGCGCCAGGTACCCTCAAAGGAGCACCACGAGCTCTAGGCTCGTTGTCGATACCATAAAGTTCGCGAGAGATAATTAGTCCGGGGTAACCGATTGCCACCAGGCACACTATACCTAAAGGTGCCATCAGGCGAACTAAAACTAAATAAGCCACCAGGCGAACTAAATGTAAGGGTACCACGGCCACGCAAAAGCATATAGGGGCACCACAGCCACTCAAAACAGATAGGGGCTCCACGGCCAAGAAAAAGAATAGAGAACGTAACTAAACTTAAAGGTTACCCGGAACTCAAAAGATAGTACTAAATTAGACCACTATACGTCCCACGTTACGCCGCTTCGGAGGCTAGCTTGTCGGAAGCGTCGCGGCGTTCAAGAGGTAAGGAAGGAAAGAACTCAGCCAAGGACTTATAGGAACGTGATACGAAAAACTACAAGAAAATAATCCGAATTAAATAGTTAACGCACCAGAGCTGTATTGAGCAAAACAAAATTCCAAATAGTCAATAAACTCAATAGCAAAATTACAAAAGCATTAACGCAAGCATTACTGAGGGTGCGAGCGAAAACCAAGCATAATTAAACAAGAGTCTTAAAATTAACTCACAATGAGCGGTATGCAAACTCGGAAGCTATACAATGCAAAAGAAATAAGAAGCACTACATATAATTCAGGAGACTATAGTCGCAGTCTGCTTATCGGAAAATCTCGGCAGCGAAGGCGCTATGCGTGAGCGCGCACGTGATTAAGACGCGGGCACGCAGGCTCGATATTCCTAGAAACGGTAGGCACAGAAAATAATGCCGTCGGAATAATCGAATTACTTGAAATAAATTAACAAATTCGTTTTGAACTAAAATAACCAAATAACGATAATGACAAAAGTCGGAACGGCAGCAGAACGGTCTGCGCGGTTCCAATTCTCGCACGCGCGAAATTATAACCGCGGTCGACAACCGTAATACGAAAGAGTTACGTAAAAGAAATTATAACTACAAAGGAATCCGACAAAGGATAATACACGCGGGTTCGCTAACACCGGTTCGAAAATCGCGGGCACGAAAAGTACCACAATAAATAGAAATATTACAATAAATTAATACAGGATATGGCACAGAAAAAATATCACAGTCAGAAAAATATAGAATATTGTAACGAGTATTTCATTATGGTTGCAGCGGAAAGACGTTCTCGGAACGGGTAGTACAATTTCGAAATCGGCCGAAGGCGCGACGTCGAGAAACATCAACAGGCAAGGTCGCCTCGGAGGGCGGCTAGCGCGCGACGTCGGAAAGACGTGTACGATACGCAAAATTCACAAATGTTCCACCGCGAATATAAAGACGAAATTATAATAATGTTTGGCAACGATAATCAGATACAGTACATCCTCAATAAATCATAGAAATCAGAACGGATATCGCATACGAAAGTAGAACTATGAAATTCGGAAGCACACTTCAGCAAAGGCCACAAAAGATTTGCGAAAACAAGAAAAGAATTTCGTTTAACTTATTTCACTTTGAAAGAGGAAAACAGGCGAAACACTACGATTCCGATTAGGTAAAGAAAAGACGGCGTGGGCTCGCCACTAAATTTAACGGAACTTAGGGTTTGGAAGTCTCATAATACTTTTGCAGAAAATAGAACAAAAATTTGTCGGTAAACGATATCTTAGAATAATTGACAAAATGATATAATCGGCCGCGCGAGAATCTGGCTATAGAACAACCAAGCCGGTTAATCCGGGGTCACCCACTCTGGCAGACAGATTCCCCCGTGTACACTAGGTGAAGATTCCAGAAATACTTTAGTTACGAATGAATAGCAAACACCAAATTATACAGAAAAGCGCAAAATCGGAAACTCAAAAATATAAATAATAACGGCACTATCGTCCTTTATATGATACTAGGCGGAAAGACATTCGCCCGATAACGGCAAGGAAAATTCGTCACCGGCTAAACGGACGGTTTCTATAATCTTCAATACACAAAAATCAGAAAAGTTTAAGGAAAGCGAAAGATCTCACCACAAAAATAGCAAATTAAAGCGTAACGCTTGGTCCAATAGGCCCTCAAGGCAATATTCCTCGTTATCTCTCCCCTCCCCCTCCCCCTCTCTCTATCTCTCTCTATCTCTATGGCCAGAGTTTCTGTTTCTAGAAATTAAGTTTCCCGGTACTATAGGAATGCTATTGGGAGCTGTCTATCGACCTCCGAAAGTGGGTTTTCTTAGTGATCTTGAACAAATCTATGCTCGTCTTTCTCATGCTTATTCAAATATTCTTATCATAGGTGACTTCAATGCTGATTTGCTGGTCCAGTCCTTCGACAGCTCTTACATGCACTCCTTTATTGCTGGAAACAACTTGCATCTCGTGCAGCATACTGCTACTCATCATACTCGCGGGGCGCATACTTGGCTTGACTTATGTATGGTAGATAGTTCTTCCAAGGTCACCTCTTTTGGGCAGTCCTCAATTCCTTTCATGTCTGCTCACGATCTGATTTGGGTTACGTATTCTCTTAAACCTCCTCAGGTGCATGAGTGGAAAATAACGTACCGTAACTTAAAAGCTGTGGAAAGAACTATCCTTCATACCAAGTTGGAGCAATGTAACTGGTTGAGGTTTCTTTCTGCTTCCTCTGTGGATTCACAAGTTGCAATTTTAAATCAATATCTTGAGGACACCTTGGACGAACTTGCACCAGTACGTTCTTTTACACCACGCCGAGCTCCGACACCGTGGATGAATCATGATATAAAAACCTATATTAAAGAAAGAAATAGACTTCATAGGAAATACATGCGCTCTGGGATCCAGTCGGACTTTTACAAATATAGAACTGTGCGAAACAAAACACAAGCTCTCATAAAGCTAGCTAAAAACAATTAGATTCGTGACGTGCTCTCTGCATCTAAGGATCCTCGTATTGTATGGAGTCACCTGCGCAGACTCGGCTTCATCAGGCCCGTTAAGCAGTGTCAAATTGCGGGCATGTCACTCAATGACATAAATCTACATTTTTCTATGTCCTTTCACACGCACGATGATATAGTGGATAGGTTTGATATCTCTCAGACTCCAGAACAATTCGGCGATGATAAGTTCTACTTCAAGTTCATCCAACCATCAGACCTTGTTGGCGCGCTATGTGACAATGACTCGCGTGTTATGGGACCCGATCATTTACCTATGTCGCATGTTTCACCTTGTCTTGAAGTGATTTTTCCTTTTTTGCTTGACCTATAAAACCAATCACTCTTGTCCGCTACGTTTCCAAAGGAATGGAAAAGGTCTTATATACGTCCTATCCCAAAAGGGCGTGGAGTCCCATCTTCACCCTCGGACCTTCGACCTATTGCATTTATTTGCAGTCTGTCTAAACCCCTAGAGAGGATAGTTCGTGAACAAATGGTGGATTTCTTAACTAAGCGTGGTGGGTTAGATCCGCATCAGTCTGCATACAGAGCTGGATGCAGCACTGAAACTTCTCTGGTTCGCGTGGTTGATGAGGTACGTTTCGCGGTGGATGAACGAATGGTGACTTTAATGGTTTTTTTTATCTTACCAAAGCGTTTGACTCGATTTGTCCTCCTAAGCTGCTTGAGGTCATGCGTCAGGCTGGATTCTCGTGGTCGGTGAGAAGATGGTTTGCATCCTATCTTGCAGATCGAATGCAGGCTGTTATAGGTCCGAATGGAGCCTCGTCCTCCTTCCTGAGGGCTTCTTCGGGAGTACCTCAAGGCTCGGTGTTAGGACCCTCACTATTTGCATTGTATCTAAAGGATTTGTCAACTGTTATCTCTTATTGTTCATACTCCATCTATGCTGATGACTTGCTTATATACTTACACTGTAAACCTAAAAACCTGTTAGACGCTCTCTCGACGGTGCAGAACGACATAAATGCAATCACTGAATGGGCTGCTTCAAACTGTCTTAGTTTCAATTCTTCTAAGACGTACTCGATGATTGCTGGTTCACCTAGGTATCTTAATAAGCTAAATATGGATTTGGTACCTTGTCTGCGCGTAGATTCCAGGACCATTCCTTTCGTTCCATCCGTGCGCTGTCTTGGAGTTACAATAGAAAGCACTCTAACTTGGACCGACCACACGCTGGATGTATGCAGGAGGGTAAACAAAACGCTGTACGTCCTTAAGGCAAATCGTGCTGCCCTCAATGTGAGTCTAAGAATATTACTTGTGACCGCTCTTATCTTTCCCATCATTGACTACTGTTTACTGGTGTATGGCTGCGGAACTAGTGGTCAGACGCAAAAGGTGCAAGTGGCATTAAACTCGTGCGTGCGTTTTATCTTCGACTTGCGTATGGATGAGCATGTTACGCCTTATTACCGCCAGTTAAATTGGCTAAAAATTAGGCAAAGGCGACTTTTTCTACTCGGGAACCTTATTTACAAAGTATTACAAAGCTGGTAGTCCAACGTACCTTAGATCTGCACTTGTCACTTCACCTCTTACGCATGTGTCTCGCGAAACTCAACGTAGGGACGATGACCTTATCGTACCCATACATCGCACTGAATGTTATAGACACGCAATTCACGTTAATGGAGCTCTCTTCTGGAACTCCTTGCCAACCACTGTCAGAGATGCTCCCTCTAAATCCACTTTTCGCGCACGACTGCGTGACTATTTAATTGTGGATCAATAACACGGACACACTCGGTACAACTAAAATTGGGTCATGTAGTAATACCTTACTCTAACTAGTAATAAGTTTATAGTATTATTTGTTTACCTTAGTCTTATCGTTGTGTTTGGAGCTCTCTTCTGGAACTCCTTGCCAACCACTGTCAGAGATGCTCCCTCTAAATCCACTTTTCGCGCACCACTGCGTGACTATTTAATTGTGGATCAATAACACGGACACACTCAGTACAACTAAAATTAAGTCATGTAGTAATACCTTACTCTAACTAGTAATAAGTTTATGGTATTATTTGTTTACCTTAGTCTTATCGTTGTGTTTATTACTGTCACCTACTCAGTAGGGTGTATATATATATAGTATAGTGACTCATATTATACCTATTACATTCTCTAAATTGTTACTATATGATGTTATGGTCTACGGGATTTAAGCCCTGATCAAATAAATTGAATTCTCTCTCTCTCTCTCTCTCTCTCTCTCTCTCTCTATATATATATATATATATATTGTAACGACGAATCGTACAAATAAATGGCACCGTGAGAAATAATTAACAAAATACTGAATTATTGGGCGCCAGGTATAACCAGAGTTACACCGCTGTCTCCTAAGGACACCCTAGCCAGCTCTTATGCGGTGGGGTCCTGGGTCTGGGAGACAATAATCAAGCTCTGAAAGGTAATAGCAACAAGACAACACTAAAGGGGCTTTGAGAAATCAAACAGATCTGAGGATTCGTTTAAAAGCACGGAACCCACAAACGGGCCCGATTTATTGAACACAGGAGAAATCAAACGTAATATAAAAACAGAAGATGAAATGTAAAATATAACATATAAGCATCAGATAATAAAAACGCGTAATAACAGAACACGGTATGGAACAACAGTTCCAAAATAATAAACTTGAGTGGGAACTACTGTTCCTACTAAAATACACTAGTTGCACCGACACAACTAATAAATCCCGGAGGGATTAGGCAAGTGCGAATTCCTCGCTCGGAATTATTTCCTAGAAGGCCGGACACTTCCGACAACAATGCGCGCGTTAGATAATACAAACGCACCGAAGCTAAGCAATAATATTTACAAAGTCAGCTGACGAGTGGCCTAGTGCCATATTCGCCGGCTCCACAATATTTACAAATTTTGAGCGCGGTAATCCTAACGGTACTTGACCTCCTGGGAAGTCACTTAATATACCGAATCTATAGATTCCCCGCTAGGAATCTAGATCCTGCGCTTGTCGTCAAGCGCGTGTATCCTATCCCGTTACGAGTATTTCCGCAGCTGGAATCAGTTCCGGAGACCTATTTGTCTACTGAAATTATCAGTCAGGAAATACGCAATCCCCTTTCTGCTTTCCTAACACCCACGAATAATACCGGGAGAGATACGTACCACTGCGCGGCACTTACGATACACGACACGATACCGAACCGATTACGCGTAGCGTGGACTGGATATTCATAAGTTGCATGCAGTTTCTTCAAACATGCTCTACGAATACTCAAACATAAAACTAAGAACTAAACTTTGATACGAGATAACGGATCCTCCAGATCGCTACCAAACTGACAAACATCAGATCTCAACGATCGTGTTTGCGGGAAGCGACACGTGCTGTCGGGATCAAAGATCCAGCAATTAACTCTAATGTCCAGTTAATCTCGATCAATTACAAAAATTATCTGACTCGGTAGCGTCACTCACCGAAAAGAGCCTTGCCCAAGTCATCCAAATCCTCCGGATTCATCTTTTTCTCTCTTTCTATTACTATCCTTCACATTCCTTCACTTTTACCCTTCTAAACACTGACACTATCGGCACACGTGCTGCTCGTACGCTACGCTACACCGCAAGTGACCCTACCCGATCGCTCGCCCGCTAACGTGCCCTAGTGGCGCGGAGGAATATTACCCTTGGGCCCAATCAAATTTGCGCTAGCCCCTACGCGGCCCAATTCGCCCGCGATCTTCAATTGTCTATGGGATCCTCGAAAAGTAGATCGGCGCATCTTCTCTTCTTCTGGGTGATTGCAGTGTCTTTTCTTGTGGCGGGAATCTCATCCGCACCTCCTCCCTCGTTGCACGGCTCCAGGCCGCCACTGCAACCCCCGGATGCTGCCAACATCTCGGATCTTTTCGCGGCGTCCTTCCGCGTATGTGGCCTCACTCCGTGGTGCTCTGCGGTCACGCTGGCCCTCCTCCTGCTGGCTACGTCACTCCAGTGATGCTGATCGCACTGGTCGGGCCCATGTGTTGTCGTCAGGGCCGTTTCTGCTTCTTATTTCTCTCTCTGATCGGTTCCCTTACGGGACCGAACACCACTAGTAGCATTTGAAATACAGACCCCGAAGGGAATTAATACACATTCTACACGCTAATTTCAGTCCACGCTCGACGTAATAGTTAGGTTGCCTTGCGGACCTCACGGTGTAGCTTCTATTTTGCATTTTTCCTTTCTCTTTTGTGACGTGCACAAAGTGCCACGTCATGGAAGGGATAAGAAACGAAGTCTTTAAAAAGGGTTGGAGAGGCTAAAAAGTTTGTTCTTGTTCAGTGGTAGAAGTGTGGCGTTGTGAAGTACATAAAGAAGTTTTGTAAAAGAAGTGCAAAGTAAAAGTCAATGTTAGAGTCGAAATCTAGAGTTCTAGGAACTTATATTCTCTTCCCAGTTTATACCGGCTCGTCAGTTCCCGGTGAAAAAAGAATTGACTGGCGCCCGCCTGGCTTGCGGATGCACGAACGACGGGTGGACGGCCGGATGTAACGTAGGTTGGTTCTCGAAGATAGTCGTTCCCAAATGTTTTGCTATCGGTGTTGGGTCAAGTTAAAGAATTACGTTACAATATATATATATATTGTTACGTCTCAGCCCTTCTATATACGATACTAGTTAACCCATACATATACACAGCCACTTATACCCATGGCCAACCCATATTATTATTGTTATACCCTAACCTATACAGACATTATACACACTACATATGTCGATCAATCGTTTGATATAACTAATTTTATTGATTTATACTTATAAGTTTATACTTTTGTCTTATTTTATATTCCGTTATATTATTGGAATCTTTAATTATGTTATCATTTATTTGACCGGAAAAATGTTACGCTTATTATTTCTATCAGGTATTATGTTCTTAAGAAATTTGTCATACCAATCCTTTATTATGTCTTGAAATAAAAGATAAACCTGAAGCTCCTCGAGACTAGCAGTACTCGCGAGGTTTCAGGTACAGAATTGGAAGACTCAGGTATGCAACAA